ATTTTGCAAATGTCAAACTAAGAAAATTCGATAGAGCTATCTGTTCTCAGAGTACAATGTTACAGAATATCCAATTATTATGTTCTGACTTCTCTTCCCAGAGAATGTCAATCAGAGCTCCTCTATGACTTCAGCAACAATATAGATACATGAGACTGATGAGAAAAAAAAATCAGCTTTGTTTTTAAATGTGTAGATGGATTTTACAATATTAATTTTATTGTTGATTTCATGTAGACACATTTTACTTCTTTCATTAGATTGATTCCTATGTATTTAATTTTTTAGATGCTATTGTGAAGGGTAATTTTCTTTAATTTCTCTCTCAGTGAGTGTATTGTTCATATACAGGAAGGCTACTGGTTTTTGAGTGTTGACTTGTATACAGCTATGCTTTTGAATTTTTTTTAATTAAATCTACATGTCTTTTGGTAGATTTATTGGAGTCTTCTATGAAAAGTATTGTCTCATCTGCAAATAATGATGATTTAACTGCTTCCTTTCTTTTCCATATTTCTTTTATTTCTTTTTTGTTGTCTAATTACTCTGCCTAATATTCTCAGAACTATATTGAATGACATTGGATATCTTTGTCTTTTCTTGATTTCAGTGTAAAAACTTTCGGGTTTTGTATATTCAGTGTGATGCTAATGTTGCTTTATCGCAGAGAGAAAGACCATCTACACCAATTTCGTAGGGCTATTTTTATCCTGAATCAGTGTTGTACTCTTTCAAATGATTTTTCTGCATTTACTGAGATGATCATGTGCTTTTTGTTCTCACATCTGTTAGTATGATGTATTACATTTATGTAATTTGCATATGTCAAACTATTAATATGGGATGAAAGTGTTCCTAGATTTTAAACTGTTTTCCATTCAATCCAGTCAAACTCACAATCAAGATTAATGATCACAGAAAGTTAAAAGAAAGACTGCATTCTTATAAATCTATATGTTCTATTAATCCAACCAAATCTTTTTTGATATATTTTTTCACAGAATGAATTTATGCAAATGAATCATTTGCATATGTTGAATTATTTCTACATACCTGGGGTGAATCCCATCTGGGCATATATAATCTTGATGACTGGTACATTTTATTTGCCAGTATCTTGTTGAGGAATTCTACATATTTGTTCATTAAGGAGATTGGCCCATACTTCTCTTACTTGGTTGGGTCATTCTCTGGTTTTGCTATAAGGGTAATGCTTGACTCCAGCAATGAAACTGAAAGTGTCACTCCTCTTTCAATTGTATTAAAGATTTTCAGAAATGGAGATATTAGCATTTCTCTAAATTTCTTGTTAAAATCAGCAGTGAATCTGTCAGGGCCTAAACTTTCTTTGTTGGTAAATTTTTAATTACAACTTCAATCTCATTGACTTATACTGGTTTATTTAGAATATTAATATCTGCTTGATTCAGCTTTGGTAATTTATATGTATCTAAAAGCTGTCCATTTCTTCTGCTTTATTCTATCTCATTATGAGTAAAAGTTCTCAAAGTAGATATAATTTTCTGAATTTCTGCAGGATATGTTGTGATTTCATCCTTTTTACTCAGAGTTTAGTGGATTTGAGTCTTTTCTTTTTTTTCATAAGATTGGCAAAAGGTTTGTCAATTTTATTTGGTCTTTCAAAGAACCAACTCTTTAATTCATCATTTATGTAGTTTACCTAGTATCTATTGTATTAATTTCTGCTTTAATTTTTAAATTTTCTCCTTCATATGAGATTGGACTTGACTTGTTATTCTTTTTCTAGAAGCTTTAATTTCAACAGTAAATTGTTTATTTGAGCTCACCCTGTCTTCCTGATGAGCTATAACTATAGATTTGCCTCATAGTACTGCTTTCATTGAGTTCCACTATATGGTATTGGTATTGCCATTTAAATCTAGAAACTATCTAATTTCTTTAATTTTGTCTGTGATCCGTTGATGGTTCAAAGGGTTATTTAACTTTCATGTGTCTGTGAAGTTCTCCTGATGTCTTTTGCCATGGATTTCCTATTTCATTGCACGATGATGTGATTATATTCAGCGAATAATTTCAATTTCTTTTCATTTACTTAAGTATGTCCTGTGAGAAAGTATGTGGTCTATTTTGGAGAATGTCATATGTATAATTGAAAAGATATGTATATTCTGATGTTGTGGAGTAGAATACTATAGACATTTACTAAGTCAATATGATCATAGATTTGGTACAGTTCTAATATTTCATTGTTCATTTTCATGATAATGTGATATTGATGTCTCCCATTACATTTGTATCAGTGTTTTTTTTTGATATTCTATGCCTAATATTTGCTTTACATAGTTAAGTGCACTAGTATTGCACATTTCTTTATGATTATTATTTCTTCCTCTTGTATTGTTCTCTTTATGCAGATGTAGTGATCTTCTTTTCTTCTTAATCAGTCCTGCCTTTGTATAAAAAATAGAATGGCTAACCTTGCTCTTCTGGGTTTCTGTTATATGGACTTTTGTTTTCCATTCCTTGATTTTAAGCTTATCATTTTCTTTTTGAATTAAATATGCTTCATGTATGCAGCACATTGTTGGATCTTGCTTCTTGATTCATTGTGTCAGTCCGTTTCTTTTTATTGGTGAATTGAGATCATTAACATTGATAGTTACTACTTTTATGTATTGGCTTCTGTTTGTCATGTTATTTTCTTGTTGTTGCCTTCATTTTTTCCCTTTTGTTCAACTGCTTGCCTGCTGGACTCATCCTATTCCCATTCATGAATCTGCATCTTTGTGAGACAGATGAATTTGTATCATGAATTTGTAATCTTTGCTATCCCTTTCTAGAATGTTCTTCAGAACATTTTGGAGAGCTGGTTTGGTGTTCATTAATTTCTTCGTGTGTTCTTTGGCATGGGAGTATTTTATTTCCCCATCAATTTTGAAAAATAGTTTTGTAGTGTATATCAGTATGTGTTGGAGCTTGTTTCCATTCAAAGTTTGAATATTTCTTGACTTGAGGTTTAGTTTTGAGAAGCCTTTTATGATTCTGATAGCTTTTCTTTATGAGTGATTTGTTTGTTTTTCAAACATCTTTTAATATTCCATTCTTGTGTTGAATTTCTGGCATCCTGACTATTGTATGCCTGGTTGTACATTTTTTAATCATAGCTAATTGGAATTCTATATGGCTCCTTTATCTGAATGTCAAATTCTTTCTTACTGCCAGGGGAGATTTCTGCTATGATATCTGTGAACAGGTGTTTATGTCATTTGTGCTATCTGCTGTGTTTTCACTGACCATTATCAATCTTATGTTTTTGTTGTTTGGATCTTCTATAGCAACTTCTGGGTTGATTTATTGTGATCTCTCATTATTTTTAAGAAATCTTTTTGTGATCACTAACTGCAATCCTGTCTTCTATAGCTGAGATCTTGTCTTTGCTTTAGCTCATTCTGCTGTGTATATTTTTGGAGATCTGTTTGAATCTGTTCCATAAATTCCATTTCTTTCCTGTGTGAAATGAAGTTTTCCATCATGATTCTACACTCATTTTTTAAAAATCTGCATCTACTCTATAGTAACTCAGTGTGTCTTTCCATAGGGTCAACAACTTTTTAATTATTTGAGAAATTAGTTCTGATTCAATTTTTTCTAACGCTTCATTTGTCTTGTTGTTATCACTTCATGGAGTCCAGCTGGGTGGCTTTGGAACTATTCCCTATCATTTCCTCCTGAGTTTGTCTTTGGTAAGCTGAACATCTGTGGTTGCACCTTGTGTAAGTGCCTTCTCATTTTATATATTTTTTCTTACATTAATACTGGGGTTGATGCTTGTAAATTGCCTATGGTAAGTAACTTTATTGCTAGCATTTCGAATCTTGGGAAATGACTACTCAAAAGTGTCTTTCAGCAATAGCTGGCTTTTGGTTAGTTTTATCTATAACAATAAAGATATCAAACCTCTGTGATCCTTTTATATTAGATATTTAAAATAATAAAAATTAAAACTTTCAGATGAACCTATGGTTTAAACTAAAAGGGAAAAAGTGTCAGTCTCTGGAAAATACTAATATCCTCTGTTATGCAGAATCAACTAAAAATTATTTTCGATGAAATATATTACATAAAATGATTTTGGAAAATTAAGTAAAAGAGAATAGTTAATTCTTTAATATGATTTAATAATACTGCATCATGTTTTCTGAAAATGAAAATGTTTTGACAAATTATGTTTTATTCATTGATACCTAATGTGAGTTAGAAATAATATTTTGAGTATATTTTAATGATTTGTTCAAGATTATCATATAATGTCTTTAATTGATACTGCTAAATATTATGAGAACAAACAACTTTCATATCACAATCAACTATTTTGAAGGATTTTATCATTTTAGTTTGTTCTATACTTATTTTAATCATATTTTTCCTTGTAAACTCATATTTAGTATATAGTAGTTCTTTTGGATATAGTCAATTATGAATATATTAGATTTTTTAAAAGAGGGATGTGGTTATTTGCTAATGCAAGAAAAAAAATAATTGTGATATATGTCACTTTATGATCTGAGCACAAGAGGTTGTATTGACCGCATGTGAGTTCCAGCATGGTCTACTAATACAATGAAAGTATTTGAGGTGGAAATACATACTTTCAACTAAAGTTTATAGATCCTGTGCTATGAAAATATGATTTTTCTGACTACCTTATACAAAAAGAACTATAAAAGTCACATTTTCACAGATTTATAAATAATTAAAATATTACAACAGTGTTTATGGCAAATATAACTGGATTGTTTCAAATGTGTTTTAATAAAGAATCATATTTAATATGAATCATGAGAAGTAGGTACAATGTTCAAAATTGCCTCCTTACTATAGAAGATGTAAATCAATTAATAATATTTACAGTTGATATTCTGGAAAAATAGTGTCATGAGCTTTTTCATGATGTAATTACAATAAGGTTATATATAACCTCTATATTTTAATCAAATATATTTGTTTTACATTCCAAGTCAACACTGGTTTAATCATCAAACATGGGAGCAAAGACTTGTCCTTCCAATGACACTGTGGCTATGAGAGCTCTTCTAATTCTGCTTTTCAAACAGCCTTCCCAGGAATCCAGGATGCAAAGAGAATTTCAGATTTTTAAGATATTTTAACTGAGATTTTATTCATATGGAGCAACTATGTCTCCAGACAAACGTCATTGTGAGAAAAGGTAATACTATTTTAATTTTCTTAGTGCCATTTTAATCATCAGCCAGTAAATACTTACTAAGTCTCTGTTTGCAATAGTAAAGCCTCTAATCCTTCCTACATAAAACAAAAATGACTTTCCCTCTGGGGTCTCAGTCTCAAATAAGGCATGTGAAAATCATTTAAAAATCTGTATTATACAATTGATGCATTATTTCAATAAGACATTGTAAAAGTGACTATGAGGCATAAGATAAAAATTGCTTTAGGGAAACAGGAAAAATGAACTTTATTTTCTGTTTTAAAATATTATCTGACTTCATGATGATGAAGGAGCCTCAAAAATGTATCTTCTTGACTCCTGTGAATGCAGTAGGGAAAAAGAAATGAAAGAATTATAACAGATTCCACAAGTTAACATAGACACTTTCCAAGAAGAGATACATAATTAATAATCATCAGAATGATTGTATGAAATCTTCTGCTGTAACACTCTATGGGACTACTTAATATTTCTCAAATCTGCCTGTGTGTAACAACTACAGATCTACAGATCTTAACTTTAGCTATATTTGAAAATATGGAGAATCTTTTGAAATTGGCTTGTGGAGAAGTTTGGCACAGAGTGGAAGACCAGATAAGGGAAAGTCTAGCATACTATAAGTGAAGCTCAACACCCAAGCAGAGCTGGGAAAACCAGAATACTGATAAACATATGGTCAGTAAGGGCCAAACATTGGAGCTTCCTGATGAAGAGTTAAAACAACTGCATTTTGTGTTGTAATTTGAACATAAAACTTTAGAGGCCAAGAGATGCTTGGCCAAGGGGGAATATTAAATGCCTCTCAAAGATCCACAGGCCAAAGGCTTAATCACAAGGTGGTAATGTTAAGAGATAATTTAGAAGGTAAATCTAGGGCAACAAAATCAGGTCATGAACAGGTTGGTTGGAGCCTGGTCTTCTCTTTCTCATTTCCTTCATAGCTCATAAGATTAGAGATTTTGACTCTGCCACTGGCACTTGCCAGGAAGTGTCAGTTTACTATAGACTGAAAGCTTTGAGACCAATTGATGATCATGGAACGCAGCTTCTAAAAGTGAGCCAAAATAAAATTTTTATTATGGAATTTTATTATCTCAGGCTTCTCCTTATAACAATGCAAACTGACCATTGCAATTGGGTTAATTAATCTCCCACAAAATTGATATCCATCTGAAAACATAAGTATCTTATTAACAAATGGAACATTTGCATATGCAAGTTAATAAAGTCATTTTAATTAGAGTGTATGATAACCTAATAATTTATCTCTCCCTGATGAAAGCTAAGAAGGACAGAAGAAATCTCTGCTAGAGCTTGCCAGGAGAATAACTCTGATGTTAGCTCGATTTTAGACTTCTGGCCTGCCAATATTTTTTGTTGTTTTAAGTTATTCAATTTGTACTTCCTTAAGGGAACTCCAAGAAGTTAGTCCATGAAGTTACTCTCTCATCACAGTTTTGAAATTTATACACACAGTTAAATTCCTCTGAGCTTATATAAATTTTACAATTTTTGTTAAGTAGTCTTTTGATTTTTCTAAATTAATATACTTTGAGTTTTACATTGTTAATTAAACAATAACTAAGACTACAGGACAAAATGTTAAAAGTGTAAATTCTAAAAGATAATCCCATCAAGTTATGATTTAGAAAATGCTGAAATGTTATTCCTTTTTAGAAATATTTTATATGCACATAGGTTATATATATATTCATAAATTTAGATATGAACCACTTGGTTTCTGTAAATATATACCTAAAATAATTCCACAGAGCGTATTTATTACATGGTTTAAATGAGAAATTAGAATTATTTAAAATTTAATCATCAAAATAGTAATTGACTTCAAACTTGGTTTTCATTTCTTAAATACTTCATTTAAATTTCATATGTAGAAAAATTTATAAAAAGTTCATTTTAAAATTAATTAAACCAATATTGATTTGTGAATTTGCAACATTTGTGTTGCTGGAATTTTAAAGTCTCAATTTTCTTTTTAATCACAAAAATAGGAAGGAAATATTTCATATTATAGGTGTATAGTCAAGTATATGGGGTAATTATGTATTTGTAAATTAACTAAAATAGCTGTTGTACAATAAAATTCATCTGCTTGGGCATGCTAGCACATGCCTGTAATCCCAGCACTCCGGAGGCAGAGGCACATGGATCACTGCACATCTGAGGCTATTCTGGGCTACATAGTAAGTTCAAGTCCAGCCTGAGCTCCAAAGAAGACTCTCTCTCAAAAAAATGGTTAATGTTCATTTATTATCTGTCACAGACACAAGTTTTTAGAAATAGAGATATTTGTTTTCTACTATAGCAGATTTTCTACCTATTATAAATATATGCTATTTTTAAAGTACTATTTGCATTATGAATATATTCTAACAGTTATATTCAGAGATTTCCCTAAATTCTAGTATGATGGTCTGGGGCATTTAATCATATAACATTATTATATAACATAATCTTGTTAGAAACAAGATTACTAGTGTTAGGTCAATTATTTCATTCAGTGTTAAATTTTTTTCTGTAGAAGACAACCTGGGCATTTCCCCTTGAGTGCAAAATAATTGCTGTAAATGTTAGTTAAATCCAGTCTTTTTTCTACATACTGATATGTACAAAGCAGGCTCTGTTATTTCATTGTGCCTTTAATTGGCTCTAAGTGGTACAAATAAGGCTAGCTAAGTACTGATATGCAATGCTTGAAGCCAATTTGACAATTTTCTCTTTCTTGCCATTGTACTCTCAGTAAAGGATTGAGCACAGTGGGATAGCAGAGCTGCTCAGCTCTAAGGAAGGTCAGCTGGGTGCAGACTCAAAGTAAGAGGCATGTCTCACCAGGGCAAAGAAGTTTACATAGTAGAAACTAAGGCAACAACTTCCTAAAACACCATAATTCAGTTATGCAGACTGACTATTCTGCATATCATTCTCTCTGCATGTTGCAAAGATGCTCTTCTCCCTACCTGGCTAGCCAGTTCAAGTTAAGTAGTTCCTACCATCCTCACTGTGACTCACCCTTGAACCACTCCCATTTTTGCAGTGCAGTAAATTCTGGGAGAGGCCTTGGATCAAAGCCTTTGTCCATATATACTCACTTTGTTGAGACTTATACCCCTTTGGTTGCCCATATCTTTGAATGTGTCTTGGTATCTGTACTCTCACAGTGAATTACACTGTAGGTGATAGATTGGAGTTAACTCACTGGAATTCCAATAATGTTTCTATAGGATTAGTTAGTTAGAGCTTTTTGGATTAGGAGGCAAACTAAAAATGGATTCTAATATTTGGGTTATAATATATAATACATGGATCACAATATTGAAATTATCATATTGGAATTCCAATAGTTTTTAACGAATATCACAAATTCCCTTCATCTACAGCTTCTTTTCTTGATACATTTTCGACTCCTTCCTTCAAGAATTAAAATGTTTATTTCCAATTGGAATTGAGCTGTCCTTAAACTTGCTTAGGATGGTAAATCAACATTGGTCCAGTTCTGAATCCAGACCTTCATCACTCAAGGATCTACAGAAGATAAACTTTGGGTTTCTAGAAGATGCTTATGTGCACAATATGTACAAGGTCTGTGAATTTTTGGTAGCTCCATGAAGTGAGGTAGAATTTAGAAGATGGAAATCATGAACTCAGAAATTTAACTTCAAGAGGTATCATAACAGTTCAATGACAGCCACTAAAGTAACACTATTTTGTACTCATAGAATGATTCTGAAGAAAAAAAATTATATAGATTGCTGAGTTATATTAAAGTTTAATGCACAATTTTGAGATTTTTGTTATGGTAAAATTATGACATTTATTTGGAAGAAGTACAGAGTTGAGAACTGGACTCTGTGAAATAATTTCAATGGACCTAAAACTATTCCACCTTTTATCACATTTTTTTTTGCTTTCTTTCTTTTCCTTTTTTGGCCAGTAAAAATAGCCTATCTCTTCTATTAAACTAGGAGTTCTTTCTTCTTAACAAACCTGCAATGAATTGCCTCAAGGTGGCTGCTTAGCCAGTGAACACAAGGTTCTCCAAAACAGTCCAATGAACTTTATAGAAATGCAGAAAATGACTTACAAAATATAGTCTATATCAAAATAACTTTTTCCATCAATATTCATAGAATGTGTAAATAAGAAAGAAATTGGATCTTAAAAATATAAGATCAGGATGGGAGGAGTATACTATTGGATCAGAATGCAGCAACTGAGATAGCATTAAATGTGCTGCTGTGAAAGAATTACAGTTGCTTCAAAAAAGTCCTTGGCTGATTTTGACAAATATGTAATTAACAGAATTAAGTTTAGAAGGCAACTTAAATGGGAATGACTATTCCATTCCGTACATAAGAAAAAAGTATTTTCAAAGCTGAGGGTACTGGATGCGCAGTTGAGTTTATCATTTAGGATCTGCTCAATCACCCACCATCTACACTGAAAATGTGCAGAAGAGACTTTTTCACCACAGCTATGAGAAGTATATCAGGGAGGCAAATGTAGTTTTTATAGACAATTCTTTGTATGGCAAGAAGTAAATTATTGTGAAATACTATAATGAAAAGGACTTGTAGAATTTAGTGAGAATTTTGGGGTCTGGTGCTAAGAGATCAAGTGACGGTATATCTCCTACTTACCAAGACATGGTGGTCATAGTAATCATGAGGGGAATTGGTGCCAAGGTTGCCATCAAAATGATCAAATGCACATATACCTTTAATGTTAGCAATTTAGAGTGACATTCTAGTTAATAAACTTTTCATCCACACCCCATGCTGGGGCTGCCATCCCCAACCCAAAGGAGGAGAGGTTCAATTTGGTTCATGGTTTTCGACGGATTGAGTCCAGGGTTGGTGGGCTCCAAGACACAATATCATGATGGGAGAGTACAGTAAAGCCATGCCTGTTAGTTCATGATGGTCAGGAATTAGAAAGGAATCAGTGTTGGAGGGAAAGCAATCAGGGACCTAATGCAATACCCAAATTCATGCTTTCATGACACATCTAGATAAACCCAAAAGTCTGCTACACAAATCTCCTAGGCAGGTTCTAAGTCCATCACACCTATAACAATAACACTAGGAAATCAATAAATAGCTACTAATAATCAAAACAATAAATAACTTTCACATTAGTAAGGCTGCTGATAACAGCATATAGTACCCAGAAGAGAATGTAGGTGGATGAGGCATGCAAAGCAATAGAGGCAGGGCTGCCCATGTCCAGGGGTGGGTTTCCCCCTTCACTACAATGTGCACAAAATATTGGTCTTAGAGCTTTAAGATTTAATATTTGCTCTGCTGAGTTTTGGTCTTGCTTTAGAGCAATTTCTCCTTTCTTCCTCCCTCTTATGTAATAGGAATAATTGTTCTATTCCTATCCTGCCGTTATAACTTTGGAATATATAGTTTTATTTTTCCTTGGCTTCTCTCCTTTTTTTAAAATTTTGCAAAGGGTCACAGATCAATATACTTTTTGTCTTGCCTGAAACTTTGGACTGGACTTGAATGATCTTAGAGCAAATGAAATATTGGGGCCATTCATCCTAAAATGGATTCTATTTGCATTTTTAGAAGGAGATGAACCTTAGAGAGCAAGGCCAGCCTTCTAGGGGTTGGATGCTGTTCATGTCTCAACATCTATGTGTTGGGAGTTTGAGCTTCAGTGTGAGGATGTGGAATTTGGAAGAACCTTCAAGAGAAGGTCTAAAGGGAATTATAAATCAATGCGGGTATGCCAGTTAAGGGAATTACCCATTTACCAGTGCAATTGTTTAAATACAAGGTGACCAAAAATTCTATATTTTTGTTTAATGGTTATTAAATAATATAATAGAAAATGACAATTTCACCAAACGTATTCAACACGAGAATCTGTTGGTTGAGATGACACCTGTCAGCAACATTCAAGAGAGTCAATATGTAAACAAATGCATTATCCAAGTGACAATAAAGGTGAACTGTTAAGTAGTTAATGTATTTCCCAAAATGCATTTCTCATTCAGGTTATGAAAACTAGAATCTGACCCTTCCAATCGCATAGCTTCCCATGCATATTCTTTCCCCATGATGAGAAACTCTCCACAGTGAGGCACTCACCACTGCTCAAACCAGTGGAGACCATCTATCTGAGACTTTGAACTGCCAGACAGTAAGCAAAATAAAACTAATATTCTTTATAAAATTAATCTGCTTCAAGTATTTCCTCATGCTATTAAGAACCTGACAAATACACAAAGGCATGTGAGAGATCTCCACTATTCGTTCAGTTATTTTTAAACAACACTCCAAAAATAAGCTCTATTCATTTAAAAACTATAAATTATTTATTTAAAACATTTATTGAAAATTTATCTATAATCACTTTCACCTATGAAATTCTATAGTTTTTATTACCAAACCTATGTCAGGAGTGAAATGTGTTATGTCACAGCTGTCTTCAATAATCTCTTGGTTTAACATATTTATTTCTTATGTTGACTTCATGTTTCCAAAGATGCTCCTCATTTCTTAACTCTACAAGAGCCTGCTCAATGTATTCAAGGAATTACACAGTGAACATAAATAATAAAACAAATGACTAGAAAATAAGCGATTGTCAAGTATGTTAGTCTATTTAGGTTGCTATCATAAAATACCATACACTGAGTAGCTTATCCACTACACATATGTATTTCTCATAGTTCAGAATTTCCAAGATCAGTCAGTGACAGACATTGCATATTGGGAAATCCCTTTCTCTTGCTCATAGATGACAGCTCCTTGCTGCATTCTCACACTGTGAAAAGAGGAGGTTTTCTAGGGCTATTTAATTATAAGACCTCTATCCTCATGACCTAATCACCTCTCATACACTATCCCCTTTACTGCCATATCGGCAATAATACTTCAACCCCCAATTAGTGGCAAGACACAAAGATTAAGACAGTAACTTCAGGGCCACTTCATGCAATATTGTCATATTTATGGAGAAAAAATTATTGTAGGGCTTAAGGAAGGGCACTGATGTTAGTTGATTAATGTTGAACAAGGTTCATGCCCTTATACGATACTGTAAAAGTCAAGAGGAGAGTAGAAAAAATAGTTAGTTACAAGTCCATTCCAATAGACTATGAAAGAGATGAGGATGACATAGATTGTTGGGGTGGCAGTGGAGGTCATAAACCATAGACACATGAACAAAATCTGCAGATAAGTGAATGTGCCTAAAGAAATTTCTTTAAATATACAAGGCCTGAAAAATGGTGAAAAATAGTGATATTTACTGAGAGGCAACCATGGATCATACCAGAGCAGAGGTAAGACTTAAGAGTGCAGGCCAAAGATAGATCATGTAAATTACAAAGAGAATATATGCTTATGCAATATAAATAAGCAAATAGAAATGGAAGGAAAGGAGTGTTAATGGATTCATTATTTCTGTTGTATAATTTTTCTAAGGCAATCATTTCTATCACTGAGTGATGGAAAACATTTATTAAAAATCAATGCTCAGCTTTTCTTCTCTAAATATAAAAGTAAGTAAAAAATGTTTAAGTTCTAATAAGAACAAAACTTCCAGAAAGTAGAATGAGTAATTACATGTTTCTTTTATTCTGTTATCAATACCTAAATGCTGGGGGATCAGTGTGGTTCAACTAGTTAGTGGGCCACAGGTCATATAGAAGTGACTTCCCTAAATTGTCTTTCCATTTTATGAGGTTTTAAAAGTAGAAAATATTTTTTGTGCATATTCTGGTCATTCTCTTCTATAGAATTTAGCTTTGCTATCCAAGACCCTGGGCGAAGCATCTGGCATTCCTTGTTTTTATATAACCATAAACAATCTTATTTATTCCAGCACTTAACTAATTAATTCAATTTGCTGTTTCCCACAAAAATATTGGACCCCAAGGAGCTTCTTTTTTAAAATTTCAAAAGTGTTTCAGTCTGTTTTAGTACATTCTAGTGGGATAATTCCTACTACAACTAAACTAAATCCTGTTAAACTTTGTATGAATAATGGATTTTATTCTTTCCACAGTCTGTTACTTATAAACACATGCATCATGTTTTCCAAAGCCATCAGGTTTGTCACTAGTTCTGTCATGGCTGGTCCTAGCAGGAAGGATTCTAAAGACTGAGTATATTTTTGCCATACTACACAATCTTTCAGTGGCTGCTTAAATTTTGCATGAATCTTAAGAAAAATCTACAAGCCACTTACCACACTTTTTATTTGACTTATACTCCAAGATCACATTCTACTTTGCAGATCTTTTATTGGTACAGATTTTGAAAAAAAGAAAGATAAATACTAATATTTCTTATATGCAATGTCAATAAAGTGATTCTTCCTTACAAGCCTTAAAGTTTTTATTCACAAGGTTTATTAATATGCTGCTTCTTATTATTGTCTTAGTATTTTTCATATGTACAACATATCTTCAACACCAAACAAAGAATAAATCCTATTTAACAGTAAATAAGTGTATAGTACTATTTACTTACAAATACTCACTTGATTGCAATGACTTTTATTGAGTTGACTCAAAATTAATTGATGAAAGCTTAAATAGGAATGTTTAATGTAAATCAGGTAGATATACATGCACAGTTTGCTATATTACTAGTAAAACATGATTTTATTTCTTCTTGAAGATGCGGTTTTGTGTTTAACACATTATTTATTGTTTGTTGCTGCCTTGTAGATACAAAGCTAGAGAATGGTCACTTCTGTAGGGAATCATTTCAAGATGTTTTGCATCTAACAGACTAAGTGAAGGGTACCAGTCACATCAAGAAATCTATGCCAGTTTTTAACGTAAGTACTTCCATGAATACTAGGTTTCTTAATAGAGAAAACTCATTTTCCTGAAATATAGTACTTTTGAAAATAAAAAATAAATTAGGCTAGATTAATATAAAATCAACTTTAAGACTAATATATCATGGTGCTCACTGTAACCATCACAGGGAGAATGTAATTCATGATATGTTTATATTGTCTTTTATTTTGTTAGTGTGAGTTTTTACTGATAAATTCAGTGTTAAATGTACCATGTGATTCCTTGACCTGGTGAGTGTTACTTACACTGACTCAGCAATTTTTCAAAAGAACCATATTTACTTTTCTTTCAGTTTACATATAGCAATGTGTTTTCTTTCCTCTACTGCAGAAGCTTTTGCACTAAATTATATCTATAGTCTAATAATATGTTATTTTTAAATGTATTTTAAGTAATAAAATGTTAAATAATTTACTTAGTTATACATGACATGATTAACTTAATTACATGTGAATTTTTATTAAATCTTATAATCAGATAAAACAAATATTTGACAGTGATTAAATTGCTATGTTTTGGTACAATAAAATAATTCACTATAAAATTATTAAGAGTAGATGTATTTATAGAAAACTTTCATTGGAATTTCTTATGTCTCTAGTGTGTGCACAACTTTTTATGACATATGACACAGACTTGGTGTTAGAAACACAGGATATCATTTGGGTAACTATCACAGAAATTATTCAGCATTAGACCTCATGAAGCTTCTTTGTTGCTGATTTAAGTCACAAGTACATATTAAAAGAATTTTGTAAATACATTCAACGTACAGTCATTATTAAAGAGAATGTGTTATTCATGGCTAGTATTTTGTCATGACTATTTATTATTAATGTTTAATTCTGATAAGTTGGTTAATGACATTGAATTAATCACCTAGGACTGTCATAACAAAAGTAGAACACACTGATAAGTTTAAGACTACAGGATTTTATTCTTTCTCAGTTATAGAAACTAAAAGTATCAAGTCAAATTTTCTACCTAAGTATCGTCTTTCTGCACTCTCAAGGGGCAATGAGCTTCATGCATTTCACTGAGCTTCTGCAATGCTGGGGGTCTTTGGAACTTTCTGGTTTCAGGAAGTATCACTTTAAATTCTACCTCTGCTATTGTACTGCAATCTCTAGTGGCATCAACTCGTCTCACGTTTTCCAAAGGACATTGGTCATTTTTTGATTAAGTTCACTCTACTCCAGTGTAAATTAATCACAACAAATTACATCTGGCCAACCTGCTGTCCAAAGAAAATCACCATCTCTAGTTCCAGAGGTTAGGATTGCATTATATTTCAGGTCCAAGCCAGCAAGCAATTCAAGTTAATAGAACCTTGCATTTTGGCATCTAGCATATCTGCATCTTGTCTGTTTCTTTGAGGTATTATTGACAAATAAAAATTATATTTATTCAAGGTGTACGTGCACATTAAATGATTACCACAATCAAAATAAATTAGCACATCCATCACACATAACTATCACTGTGAATGTGTATGTGGTATATATGTGTATGTGGCTGTGTGTGTATGTGTGGTGACAAGAACTGGTCTCAATAAATTTTAAGTAAACACTACAGGATTATTAACTACAGTGACCAGGCTATACATTAAATCTCAGAATTTATCCAACTGCTTGTGTCCTCTATACCTTTTCGTTCCTACAATCTTATAGGTGGGCCTCCAGGGAAACTTCATTATTCTCATTGCTTCTTAATTGATGTTTCAGTATTTGCTACTTCCTAGCCATGCATGAATTTGGGAAATTAACTTCTCTAAGTAATCAGAGTTCCTCTCTAATAGGTGTGCTGAAATTATTAAATAATTCATGTGAAAATTTCAAGTGTATTTTAGAATTATTACTGATGATTATCACTATCATCAACACCATCATCATCGTCATGATGATGATGGTCCATGAAGCAATACTTCCCTTGATTGTGCTTATAAAGTACTTTTCCACACAGATTGAAGTTTAAAAAGGTTTTTCAATGGTAAAGCAAAAAGTTATACTCTCTTTCTATACATTTTGCTAGATAATTTATTGCAGATCTTCTTCCAGACAATGACTGGTCTTCTAGTAAAAGACTGAATTACTACAGAAGAATTAATCATTGTGCCTCAAAGATAATGATATAGAAGCTCTTACTTTCTTGAAAAAGGCAATTGATAAATATAACCCATATTTGTGGGAAGACAAATTTGCTTTTGGAATAATTACATTAATACTGCATTAATAGTTTTTTTGCATAATTACTAGAGACTAACTTTTGACTCCTCCTGGAGTCATATATATATATATATATATATATATATATATATATATATATATTACTAAAAGAGAAAGAAAAAATACATGGAGATAAAAAGGGTAGAAATAATACAGAATTACAGAAAAATAAATGGTAAGAAATCGCCAGTTGATAAGTTACATATTGTCTTCTTAGAAATAGCTGTTCAGATTACAAAATTAAAGTATATAAAATGACATTCAAATAGTGACACTGACAGCAGTTCTGCTCAATGATCTAACAGAAAGTTAGTAATATGGTTATCAGTCCTACACACTTGTTTTATATCTTAAAGAGGGTAAGATTAAACATATCAAAACAGAACAAAACAGTTTAAAAAAGAACAATTTAGAGAAATACAGATTTCAAAGCAAGTCCACTGGAGATCTTCAGTCTATCTAATTGTCTCTAGTTTCTTCCAAATAATTGTTCCCATCTTCACACACATTAAATACATACTGCTTATTATAGAACTAATCAAATCATTACAGGATGATGAAGGCTTTTTAGGTCTTCAAGATCTGACATTGGGGAAGACTATAATAACTACCATTGCATCAATCATTCTCTTCATAGTAGCTGTCCTTTTCTTTACATATGCTGAAACTGAACTTAAGAGACTAGACTAATATCACTCTGATCAGTGAATAATAGTATTGCTAGATTTTATATCATAATGCTACAAAATTAACATTGGGTTTCTTAGTGTCTCTTCTTCTCCGAGTATCTGTTCATTTCAAATATTGCATTATATAATGTTCCCATAAATAGTTTTTTAAAAAATCTTCTCAGGCTGGAGGTTTAGCTCAGTGGCATAAGCGCCTGCCTTGCAAGCAGGCAGTCGTGAGTTCGATACACGGTACTAATAAAAAGGAAAAAGACAAAAAAAAAATCTTTTCATGCATTAATTTCTACATGTATATCTATCTTCTCTGTATTATAGGGGAAAACAAATCATAACAAGACAGCAAAACAAATTCCTAGAAAAACATGCAATGATAAAGACACATAAGACCACAATAGGTGAACTACCATAAAACATTGTAGGACTTGAGAGCTGTTAATAGTTAATACTGGTATAGATATCTTTTACATCTTGTCATCTTCAGAGTAGTTGCCTCTAATTTTAGGGTTGATAATATCAAGCATATCAAATTCAAATAAAATCAGCCAAGGCAAAACTGTGGTCTTATGAATCGGATTCAAATAAGATCAGGCATAGTAAGACAATATAAGTAGAACAGGATTTCAGCTTAAGTTAATAGGAAATTAAGGATAGTTAGCATGGTATAACCTGCTATTTTTGGGTCAGATGTCTGTGCCCTCAAATCCAACATGAGTGGACAAACCAGAACAAATTAAATTCAAACAGGGTGATAAGACTACTGTGATTCTTAAATCCTGATACACTATTAACAATGACCTATGCCTTTTTTTGTAGGGTATCAAAGCTATCTACACTAAAAGCCTATAGCTAACCATCTCTGCCTCATGTCTGCTACTCCATTTTGCTGCTATAATTTGTCCACCTTACTCCCTCTTTCCACTGTCTGCCCCATTCATTGAGGCCTCTCTGCCACTGTTCCTGGAATGCTGGTATCCCTTCTTCTCTTTCTCTGGAATGTCTTTCAGCACTCTCTGTAGGGTTGGGTTGGTGGCCACGGACTTCCACAGTTCCTCCTTGTCTTGGAAGCATCTTATTTCTCCATTAATTTTGAGAGAGAGTTTTGATGGGTATATGAGTCTCAGTTGCATATTATTTTCTTTCAGGACTTGGAATATTTCTCCCCATTCCCTTCTTGATTTAAGAGTTTGTGTTGATAAGTCTGTTATTATTTTGATAATTTTCCCCTTGTAGGTAATCTGCTTTTTTTCTCTGGCTGCTTTTATATTCTGTTCTTTTGGTGGATTTCTGGAATCTTGATTATTATATGTCTGGGTGTAGATCTGTTTTGGTTGTTGGTAGCTGGTGTTCCGTATGCCTCTTTTATCTGGATATCATTTCTTTTTGCTATACATAGGAAATTTTGCTTTAATATATCTGTGAATATTCCTTGTATTTCATTTTTGGTTGCTCCTGCTTCCTAACTCACATTCTTTATTCTTAAGTTATGTATCCTTTTGTCGTCTTCTAGAATTTGAATTGTTTCTTTCTGGTTCCTTGTTATTTTTAAGAGGATTTTCTTTCATGATCATATATGATAAATCTCTCTTCAAGTTTCAAAAGGCTGAATTTAGTTTCTGTCGAGGCATTTTGCCAGTGCTCAATGGAGTTTTTTGTTTCTTGGTAATCTCTTTGGATCTGTTTCATATATTCTAAGTTATGTTTAATTTCTTCTTCAGAAGTTTCTCTTTCTTTTCTGATTTCCTCAGTTCTTCCATCTGTGTTCTCTTGGGCAGGGCTTATCATTTCTTTAATTAATCTCTTTATATCTCACCTCACTTGGATCAGGAGTGCCACTTTAAATTCATCTATGAGGTCATGGAGGTATTTTTTTATTTTGGCTGATGCAGTATTGGATGGTTACTGTGCTTGTTCTCTTCAGTATTTACTTCTCCTGGACTTATTTTCTCAATTTGGGCAGCTGGAGATTTTTTCTATCTCTTGTCATGTTTCTGGTTTCTTTCAGACTGGAGTGTTCTGGGGGTCTCTGGCCCTCTCCGTATTGCTTAGTGCCTTTCAGAAGTG